CCTTGACAAGTGGGTGGGAGCCTCCTCGGATAGCTTCATGGGTGCTGCTCCTCGGCCGTGGACTGGCGGTGCTCCTTCCGATGCGGACCTGATCAAGCAGATCAGATACATCATTGGCACTTCGGACCTGCAAGAGCTATCAAAGAGAAAGGTCAGGGAGAACCTCGGGGTGTACTTTGGCGTGGATCTTTCCGCCAAGAAGGCTTTCATCAATGAGCAGATCGAGCTCATTATTCAAGGCAAGGCCTGATTGTGATATTATTTTTTCTTTGGTACTGTAATGTTTCTTCTTCGATTGTTTATTCTTTCTTCTCCCCAAGACGCACTGATACACGTATTGTTTAAACTCCATGACCTCCCAACAACAACAACAATTTATTCCCCGCACATACCAAACTCTGAACCATTTTACTTTTCTTCGAAGTTGTAAATTTCCACATTGGTTTCTTTGCAGCAAGAAAACGACGGCGGCTTTTCTATTTCTATTTTTTTTTTTTTTTTTTTTTTAATTTTCGTTTCAATTCAACTTTTACATCGATCTTGACCCCTCTCTACTTCAGATTATCATGTTATCGGACTCGCGAAACGATTCGCAGAAGTAAAACGAATATTTTGATTGTATATCGTCGTTCGTCCGTTCGTCGGCTCTTCTGACCCGAGCTCTTCCTCTGGAAGCAGCAGCGTTCAAAGAAGGCGCAACCGGACTGATGTTATATTTGAATCCGGTAAGGAAATTTCCGTAAGCTGTTGAGTATGCCGTCAGTGCCGTTAGGGTAGTGATTGTTGTTTGGACTTTTGTTCGTTTTCTCGTTGGAAGAACACGTCGTGTTTTCTTCATCAAATTCTCTCGTTGCTTTCATTTGCATCAAAAGAGGTGGAGTTTTGAATAAAAAAAAAGCTATTTTATTAACACAACAGTTCACGAGTTTAAGTAACATACAACGTAATGAAGTGTACCCGAAAGCACAAACATTATCGACCCATCCTGGCACGTTTGGGGTACCGCGCCGCATTGCCCTCATCCACTTCGCCTTCAATATCACTATCAGTCATACCAACATTCCGAACATTCTCCTTCTCCTCATCCTCGCCGATAGGCTCAAGGACTTCAACCTTTCTCTTTCTCCCAGCAACCTTCTGAGGTGAGTCAAACCTCTTCTTTACTGCTGTTACACGCAAAAGAGAGTTTGGCAATGGGTCCGAGCCGTTCCTGGTGGAACCACGCGTCGACTTTACGGGAGAAGACGGCCCAGAAGAAGGGCAGTAGTCCGACGGTGCATCGTTCGGGTCCGTTGTTTCATCAACAGCGAGGTTGAGAGATACGAATGCCGGCTTCGACTTCTTCGCGGAGCCTGAGAGGTTCTCGGCGGCGGGCAAATTCGGACGAGCCGGAGGAGCCTCATCATCAGTCGGGTCAAGTTCATCCTCATCCATGTCATCATCCTCGTCACCCTGTATTCCGAAAAACTGCATAAGCGATTGCCTTGCCCGTATGAAATAGACTAACATACCTCATTATGCGCTCTTAGGCGCCTATTTGGCAAATCAATTCTAACTTCTTGCTCCTCGATTTTCTCTTGCAGCATCTTGACCAAATCTTCCAACTCCCGCCTTTTCACGAACTTTCCCATAGCACTCGAACCTCTAAACAAGACGGCCTTCGCCAAATTCTTTCTCATGTAGCTCTGACGATTCCATCTCTTCAAAATCTCCTCCTCATTAACGGGCTTTGCTTTCCGTGCCTCAAGTCCTTCGTGCGATCTCGCATGCCAAACATACTCGTCATCGGATTCTTCGTCCGATATTGCAGCAGCAGCAGCATTGGATTTCTTCGTCCTCTTCGTCTTCTTTTTCTTGAGAATTTTCTTGGAAGGAGGCTTCGCGTCTACATGCAGATAGGGAGAAATATTACCATGGCCCACTCTAAAAAGCAAACATACCCTTGTTCTCCTTTTTCTTATTGACGCCAATAAATCCTGTGCAAGATACATCAAATCGAGAATCAGAAAAAGAGACAAACCTCGACAATTCGGACTTCCACAAAGGCATCTCTGCATTGGCCCAAATGATTCAAATCGATAATCATATGTCAGCTCTGACCCTGGCTGAATATCGGCTGACGCGAAAAGACCAACACAAAATTCTCCCATTACCGACCTTTCAAAAGTTTAGATATTGCCCAGACTAACGGCAGAACAAACCATTTCTCAATATGACAGTTAGGTTCACAGCTATGGTTCACAAATCGAGCCTCCGTTCCTCTTCTGCACCCGTCAATCACCTCTCCCTCAGCATAGTTCAGGAAATAGTAGTTTTGGATATCCTTGTAGATGGTATTCATCCTCTCAATGCATTCAGCCTGCGACACAATCTCGCCTCTGTACTCTATCACGAGAGAATTCTTCGGGATAACCTTCGTAGCACGGAGTCCATACCCTCTCGATTGAGTCTACAAATACGTTTAGCAACTCATAACAAGCGCTTTCGAGCTCGTACCCAGAACACCTCCAAATTCTCATTGCTGTCAGATTTTTGGAATGATTGATTGGTACAGGCGTCACCGGCTGGGCAGAATCCAGGAGTACACTCAATAAACATGCATCTGAAATCATTTAGGGAGTATTTTGAAATGAATTACAAACCTGTTGAGACATTCTTCACCGCAAGCTGGTGCTCCTGGCTCATCAGGCGTGGGGCAGATACACCTAGCAACCTCAATTGGCTTCCGAGGCTTCCTTCCCACAAAAATATCTAACAACATTAGTTTTGCCACCAACTTGGTTCACTTACTTTTTTTGATTCGAATGAAAGGGCTTGGTTTCCGCTTTGCATTATCCGAAACCAGAGGAATCTTAAAAATGGTTAGGAGCAGATTCATGAGGCATGGGTAAAAAACCCACAAAGTTTCTAAGCTCCATTAGTTTGACGAAATCGTACGGCAGTTCAAATTCCTCTTCAGTATTTAGCAGGGTATTGCCATAGTACATGGGCATTTCCATCTTGAACTTTGGCCTTTGCCCTTCAACAACAACTGCTTCTCCGGTCCTGAATTCAACAGAGTAGAGTCCCGCTTTCAGGTACGATTTCTTTGCGTACAAATCCTTCATCTCCGGATGCGACACCCAAGATTCTTCTGCCTCTGCAGCCCTGGCTCCGATAGGTTTCGGAGCTTGCTTCTTATGAGTTTTCCTCTCAGATGGAGGTTTCCTAACTCCGGAAGGCGTTTTCACTTCAGCGTTCTTAGTAGACAGCGGTCTCCCCATGCTCTTCCGCCTTTGAGAAAAGGGTACTGGTGCCCATTCCTTTCTCATAGCCCACGCCCTTCTGAATCTGCAGTAATGCAAAAACTTGGGATGGGTCTTCAACCGCTCCACAGAGGATGTGACGCTGAGATCACAAGTTTCCAAGATGCACTCTGATACATTCATCCCCGTGGCCAGGCCTAGTTGGAAAACCATTGGCGTGTCGTCAAATTCCGGGTCGGCTTCGTTAGCTCTATTTGGGATTGACAGAAAGTGGGTAGGTACGTCACTTTTGAAGAAGGTTCTGATCTGATGCAAAGAGCTAGGATTCGTTGCAGGGTTCTGTATGGCTGGTACCCCTGAGCCTGCATTTGCTCTGGTCTCCATGCTGCTTGAGAAGGCAGGCAAGGTCAGGGTTGGTTTGTACATTTCCTGAATCGAGTCAAATGACCAGTACAAGGGTGCCTCAAAGATCGGGGAAATAAAGTTCTTTGGGTTTCGGGAAGTCAAGACTCCCAGAGGAAGGCCAATGTCTGGAACATTACAATCGTATTCGGACATGACCATTGTTGGAGTTTCTGTTTGAGCATGGCGGGTTTTGCTGTACGGAGTGCAGGCGGAAACATCCGCATTGACCGTCAGAGTTTCTCGGCGGTTCCGGAGTGGGGTTTTTGGTGGCGGTTTGAGGGAGTATGTGTCGATTGAGGGTTCATCAGCTTCTTTAGTGTGGATAGAGAGGGAGATTCACAGGAAATAGTTAACATTGAAGTGATTTAAGTGCTTAAAGCAAAGGATTCAACCTGTAGGTTCAGGATGCTCTTCAACGAAGGCAACGCGCTCGCTTTTCTGTCGGCTGCCAGCCGGTTCCATTGTCAGTTGATCCGATTTGGATACATCGGCAGCCTTTTCGTCTTCGGACATAGGCTCATGATGGCCATTAGTTCTCACAGAACACTCTGCGTCCTTCTCGGCTCCGTCGGACACAGTCGCTTCTCCCATGATGGCTGTCTGCTTCAAAATCCAGCGAAGAAACCTCAAGCTTCAAAGTAGGCCCAAAATTTTCTTTCTCTTTGCTGAGTGTCCACCTTCCTGAACATCCTTTCATACAACATAACGAGAGATGCGCCAGGGAAATGCCAGAAAAGGCACAGCTCTAAGACCGCAGTTATGCTGGAAATAATACTAATGCACTATGTTCCATTAACATTGATGTTCAAATACTAAAGTACCCTTTGATATAGAAACTCGTTCTCCTCCCCATTCAACATATAATCCGAGATCCTATGGATCTATATTGCTTTGAGGCCTTGATTGATGAGCCTTTTTTTTGGGCATTTTCGAAACTGGTATAAGGAACTTCATCACAATCGTTTCGTTTGCCTTACTACAACGTTTGTGACTGCTACTGATTTGGGTTTGAAGGGTGCGAAACCACAGCATGCTCTGGACTCAACCTCAACTGCACGAAAGAAGACTACAATACTTTGAAAGACTCTTTTAATCTTTGGCTCGCGGACGAGACTCACAAGCTCACCATGGGAAATCTCGTTGAAAAGCAAAGTGTTCAATTGGCCTAATACATAAAAAGACGTGCTTTTGAAAGAATAATCGACAAAAAGATCTGACATCCATGTGTGCAAAGGCAAGGGCCTTTGCTTTCAATGCTATGAAGAGTTGATCTTGATTCCAGTTTTTCAGTCCCGCTTGACTTTGTATTAGTGTCATTATGAACTGCAATTGCAACTTCAGATCAAGGAAGGACTTATAGCTCAGTGGTAGAGCGGACGACTGCAGATCGTCAGGTCCCCGGATCAACCCCGGGTGGGTCCTCATTTTTTCTTGAAAAACGTACTGCCCTTCCAAAAAAAAATTTTTTTTTATGCCTATTGGCCCTTGGGCCCTTGGCTCTGAAATATACTTGCCAAAATTTTATGGTTTCAACATCGAGCTCATGAATCCCCACAGAAACATGGCTTTGAGAAGAGTTTCGTGCCCAACCTACCGATCGTCCCCCACCCGCAGGACCATGGCTTCGAGAAGAGTTCCGTGCCCGACCGCGTCAACCTTTATTTGGCCCAACAGCATAGCACTCCTCGAAAGCTCTGCAGCTATTCCACCAGAAGAAATGAAAGTTCCCTCTGATGTGGATTGGCTGTTTACCATCCGTGATGCTGCTCTCCGCCTAGTAGCTTTCCAATGGCGCCATATTAGCCGTAAAATCCAAATCGCTGCGCCTTCGTTCTCCATCATCACGTGCACCGCATCTACAACCTTCTTCCATCATATTCATTACAAATGGGAAAATCTGGACCTCCAAGCGACCGATCCTCTCAGAGCTTTGATCTGTGCTTCAACAACATGAACAGATCATCCTCAACATACAAATTATTCTCTACCTATCAGTATCAGTATCTCACCATCAGCCTCAACAGTACCACCAGGCAAGAAATTAGGACCACTTTACGCGGATAATAATGGCAGTAATGTCATACTTCTCGTCATCTCTTATGATTGTGTCTCCGCATATTTGGGCAATGTAGTCTGGTTGTGACGGATGGCACAGGTGCTGAAGGAACGTATCCAGCAGTGGCAACAGGAGCAACGGCAACTGGAGGCTGGGCAGTGGATCCTGTGGAAACGGGGGCCTTCACGGAACACTTTTTGGCGCCAACACCGACAGCGACGATGGCAACGAGGATGGAAGTGAGATGAATGATTGTCTACAAAAAAACTATTGATGGTCTATATGGAATTGTGAAAGGCGGTGACGGCGAAGGCCAAAGGCAAGAGAACTTCAGATTGCATTTTCATTTCGCGCCTCAAATTTTTTTTTTTTTGTGTGAGACGAAACGCCGATAATCAAAGAGACCAATGGAACACTTCCAAAACCCCCCAAAAAAGCGAAATTTTTTGCTTTTCAAAGGCCCCATCTTCCCCTCTTTGCGACAAATTGTAAAGAAAGGGAAGAGATATGCTTTGCGACAACCTTTGTCAGCCAACACAGTTCCAAAACCTGCCAAAATTTCTATATGGATTCATTCTTCTTATTGAGAAAGCGAGGAGGGAGCAGCAGCAGCAGCTGGTGGACGAGGTTGTGCAGGCGAAAAACAACAGTGATGGAAACAAGCTCTATCTCACAACTGCCAACTTGAGTGATCCAGCCACCATGGCATGGCACCGCCTCTATGAATCGGGTCTCGAGGAGGCTGGTGTAGCAGGCTTCGTTCAAGCAACAGGATTGGACAGGCCCACCTTTGACATGTTGTTGGATAGGTTCGGCATCCACTACGAAGTCTCATCTGGCCCTGGTCAATCTGGACGTCCAAGGAAGCTTCAAGAAAAGAGCACCGTTCTGGGACTGCTTATGCACTATTACGCTGGTATTCCCATCTTAACGTTCAACGAAACATACCTACATTAAGGGACCATGGAGCACCATACACTTTGCACAATGTTTTGCATTCCTCCTGCAACCCTGTCAAGATACTTGTCTGATGCGGAAACTGCCATCCACAGTGCACTTAGCGAGATAAAGGATGCTCAAATTCGATGGCCCTCCGTCACAGAGCAATCTCAGTGGGCACAATGGGTCAACGCTAAGGAAAGACATGTCAAGCGGAGATGGGGTTTTATTGATGGAAAGAACTTTCCGGTACAGGAACCTTCGGTTGCAGATATTCAGAATGCATTTTACAACGGTTGGCTTCACTCAGTTCTTGTTACGGGCACTGTTTGCTTTGGTGCCGATGGAACTATTGTCTGGTGCCGTCACAATAGCCCTGGCTCGTGGAATGATAGGTAACGGCGACATTCTATTCTTTCGTAGCTTACCACCATTTGAAGTGACAACTCAAGAGGCTTCAGGCGTTTGCTGACAGATGCTGCCTACTCTCTGCAAGACCACGGGGTGGTTGCAGATTCTGCCTTTCCGGTTTCTAATGATATGTTTGATAGAATTGTGACTCCTTTGAAGGTTGGGGATTTGGGAAGGTTTTTATCATTTCAGGTCTCTGTCAATAACGTTAGTTAGATTTCCCGAAAACGAGCATATCAGGGCGGAGATAGTCAGTGCGGCAATCACGCGAACGAGGCAGGCTGCGGAATGGGGCATGGGCGCGATGGAAAAGCCATTTCGTAGGTTGACATGCAAGCTCCCCTACAATCAAGATATCCGTCGCAGGCGTCTTGAGAATATCTTCAGACTTTACAATTTGCGTGTAAGGACAACCGGCATAAGCCAGATTCTCAATGTATACTCTCGATACCGCGAATAAAGCATACTCATCCTGATTATGTTTTGCATGTCTCAAAAGTACTTTTTATTGAACTCAGGACCAAAAAAGGAAAAACAGACATGCGTGAAGGGCAGTTAAGAAACAAAATAGAGCTGTAGATGAAACGAAGATGTTAATACGGATAGTGAGATAAAGTGAAGATGAGATATAAAGTCATGAAGATAAAAGATGATAAGCGATAAGGGGATAAAAACGTAGGAATTCAAACAAGAAAATGAATGGGTTAAAGGGGGCAATAATGTATGGTGAGTTAGAAAAGCTAGGCTGCGGCCCCCTTGTTCAGTTCTTGTGATGGTCCTCCACCCTTGAAAAATGCAGCCAGTAACATGATATTTCTCTCGTCCGAACGCCGAGATTCCTCTTTCCTCTCTTCTGCCTCGCGGCGTCTCTCTCTGGCTTCAATTTCGAGCCGCCTTGCATCCATCTCTGCCACATATCTACGGTACTCCATTTCCCTTTCAAACCTCCTCTCTTCAATCTCCATTTGTCGCTGCAGGCGGATGTCCTCCAACTCCTCACGTCGCAGCTGCATTTCCTTGAGCTCACGCTCTCTCCTCTCCTCTCTCTCAACCCTTTCATCTTCTCTGCGTAATCTATCTTGACGCTCTAGCTCACGTTCCTCCCTCATCACGATGTTTTGATTGATCTGGGTTTTGGTATGATCGGCCACCAAACTAAAGGACGTAAGGCTCATTTCCAAAAAAAAAGAAGAGCTTACTCGTTGAATGAGGTATTGCTAGTCGTCAATGCCTTCAAGGTTGTGTCAAGGCGCGACCTCTTCTGGCTTTGGTTTGATTTATACCCAGCTGCCTCGGGCGTGATGGTGTCATTAGGTGTGACACCTTGGCTTCCCAGCCTGCTGTTGATGGAAAAGGTGGAAGACTTTGTCTTCTTCGTGACCGTTGCGCTGGCTGACGAGGTGGATGAAGGGGATCGTTTGCGGGACTCAGTAGACACTGCTAGTGCTGTTGCTACTGCTTGTTGCGCCGGAGGTAGCGCGGGATGGGCTGCATCCAGATCCCTTAAGCCCTCTGCGGCAGCTTGCTGTACAGGCAAAACAGATCGAGCGATGGCAGCGGGAGGTGCTGCCTCCGGCACGTGGACTTGACGAAATGCTGATGGCGCTGTATCGTCTGAGAGATGATGTAGGTGCGGGTAAGTAGCCCTTCCTAGATGATTCAGTCGGCCCGGGTGACCTCTCCAGTCACTCCAACTGAAATCGCTCTCCTTTATTATTATCGGTCGCTCCCCCTTTTCTCACACAGTGCGATTCTCCGTAGATCCGAAAATCCCATCAAATAACTACCCCTTAAATATAATACATGTGAAAGACTCCCCGAAAATCCCAATTCCAGTACCCAATACCCAATACACCCACTACGTTAAGACTTAATGATGAAAAACCCCTCCAAACATATGAAGCAAAATAGAACTTCTAAAACTTCACAAATTTTCGAAATGAGATAAAATGAAAATTCCCTTCAGGTCTCGATCCCCATATTCACTCTATCCTCCTATGACACCAAATAAAATACTATGAATCCCAAACGCTACAGCGCTTGGGCTCCTTGAGCCGCCTGTTGTTGGGGTTCATCAATTCCTGCTTGACCCGGACCATAGGGAGGTGGTTGTTCTTGATGTTGAGCTCCATCATCCTCTTCATCTTGCTGCATGCCAGATTCAGAGTCCTCGGGATTTCCAGCATGATCATCACTATTGTCTACGAAATGTTAATATGGGAGAAAGTAAACGGAACCACCGTTGTCCCCATGATCAGAATTAGAATCTTCAAATTGCTCATCCACGGAGTATGCATCGCTATCCTCATCTTCCACTCCTTCGGAGCTCCTAAGGGCAATCTTGCCAGCAATTTCCTTCGCGAATCGGCAGTTTTCAGGAAGCGTTGGGTCACCAGTCGGCTTCCTGTTATTCCTAAGCTCCGTGTAACGTCCCTTTATGAGGGCGGCCGTTCGGTGGTCTTCAGGTTGTCGATCAAGATTGTATCTGGTTTCAACAAGGTTCCAACCAATCTCTCCAACTGGTAAGACCGCGTTCACTATGGTCAGCATGCCTTTTCAAGAAAATAAGAGTTGGTTTAGCGACCAAGTCACGATCAACTCAAACTCACTCATGATCTCATCCTCATTCGACAACAGATTCTGGCGGGCAGGTGCCTCTAGGACTTGATTGGAGCCATCAATCAATTCTTGGATTTCAATTGCATCCTGAATGATTTCGGCCGTAATATAATTTGTAGTCTTGTTGAAAGGAGTGCTCCTGCACTTGTTGAACCGAGTTTTCAACGCTTCAGCATCACGTTGGCGGTCGTTTGTAGTCAGTTGATTGAAGCGCGCCATCACGGTACCCCATTGATTCCCACCAGATGGCAGATGTTCCCTGACCAACTGCAATAATTCTGCAACAATTAATGATGAAGGTGGAGGAAGGCATACGTTTTGTTTCCATCAATGTAAACGTTCTTCCTCTTCCTCTTCCAGCAGCAGCCATGTTGTGAACAAAAATATGTAACGAGCG